TAGGCAGACTATAGTTGCCTTTCTGCCATGAGTGTAAAAGATAGACAGCAGCTAAAACTTTCTACAAGGCGGGATCCAGCGTCAGTCAGTCAGTGCCATGGGCCTATCGAAAGGTGCCTCACACAATCACATCACCGCATGTCACCCAAGCTATAAAAGGAGCCCCCGCCTGATCGTCAGGGTCCCTTCTGCGTCCAACGGACTCGTCCTGACTCACGGCATATTATTACGGACACGGCTCGGCCTTCGGAGTAGCTAACCGGAGGAGGACGCAGAGGCCCGCCTGATCCCGGCGACCTGAAACCCCTGAGACAACTCACCAGCCAGATCCATCGGTCTCACGCACCATTAGGGCGCGTAAGGCGTGGTGAGTGAGTTTAAGCTGCTGCGTGGCTACGTTAACAGTTATCAATAAAGATCACCAAGCCTGTTCACTGTCTTCCCGACTCCTTGTGATCTGTGGTAAGACCGACCAAGAAAAGATCCTGTCACACATACTTTGGTTAGTTTATAATGCGCAAGTCCACCCTACCTTCTACTTGACTTTAGACTAACATAACTAACGACATCTCCAACTGGAATGTCTCAGGAGTCACATAAGCCAAACAATCACAATAGTCAATGCAAACCTAGCTGAATTGTGATAAACACTCCAGCCCAAAAGAAACAGCTACAGCATATAGTTGCATGTTCTGTATTATTCATGACTGCAGGAAGTAAGGTAAGCAGTTCAAGCAGTTTTAAAACAAAAAAAAGTAATACTGAACAGTATTTTCTGGGAAGAATTGCAAGAGCTAACTTGAAGAGTTACCGTGGCTCAAGAGTATCAGTGAACTAGATGATCCTGGTGGCCCATGTTGGCTTAAAAACTGTGTGTTAATGAAATTATTAGCATGAACTGCTGAAATATTCCGGGTTATAGTAGTTTTAGCCCATTTTTCCCTGTTCTTACGTTGCTGTTATTGTGCTCTACCATGACTCTCAGTATTGCTATGTATTTACAGCAACAGATGAGGTGTTCCCAGATCAGGTATGTGGATATACGCAGCCAGATCACGCAAACTTCTTGCAGGTCTCATGGTTTTGGACTGAATTTCTTAAGTCTGAGCAGTTAATAAAGTGCACCTATGCTGTACTCATTTCCTGCAGCCAGAGAAAATGAAAACATGCGACTTAATTGTTTGCTTTTTTTATTAATTGTGCAAAAATGTCACCTGGTGTCCTTTCCCTCTATTCTATGACCTGCTTAATACCACTGCTTTACCATTTCCTGTATCGCACTCTACAAGTCTTTTTTAGAATGCTTGCCTGATTGACATCAGGAGAAGCCACATCTGCTATAGAAAAACATTGTAGGAATTCTTGACTATGTTTCTTCAGAGCCTCACTGACTTCACTCTGTAACACCTAAGTATGGATGAATGACCACAGTATATGGAATTCTGAGAACAGGCATCTTTATGGAAAACCTAATAGGTGAAATCCTGGCACCATTGAATTTAAAAGCAAAACTCATATTACATTCAATGGGGCTGGGATTTCACCTGGTGTAATCATACATGACATGCAAGAACAGTGCCATAGCAAGGTGGGGGGGTGAGCCAGGCAGCTGCCCTGGGCACCAAAGCGAAGAGGTGGCAACAGGTTCTGCCCAGCCAGGGTCGGGTGTGGGACAGAGCCACAAGCAGCTCAGTGCAGGGATGGGGAAAAAGTGGCTCCTGCTGCTGTGCGCACTCTTGGGCAAGCATGGGGAGGTGTGTGCCCCCTGAATCTGCGCAGGGCAAGGGCAGGCTGCCACTGCGGGCTTTGCCCCGGGCGCCAAACTTCATTGCTACGGCACTGCGCAAGAATTTAATTCAGCTATGTTAGAGAATCTGAGAATGGAAGGGTATTTTCCATTATTGTAGCAAAGTGATGCCAGTTTTCATTGTTTATTTCATGATAAAGGTTAGTGTACACAATGCTTTCAGTGTATGCTGTGGATCTTTGAAAACAGTGGTGTCAGTGGTGTTGTAAAACATACCCTTTTAGAATTTGGCCTGTAAACATATGGAAACTTCCCCTGAAATTAATATTGTAAGAGAGAAATGTGTTTAAAACATTTATAATTAAATTGATTTTGAGATTAAACTTGTGGAACTTGTTTCAGTAGAATATAGAGACTGTGAATGAGCTTTACGCTAAACTCTACAAAGAGGCTGAAAAGATCAAATGTTGGAAAGTGACTGTAGAAGCCGAACTGAAGCAGAAGGAGAGAAAATTGCAAGAGAATAGAAAGATTATAGAAGCACAACGTAAAGCCATTCAGGAGTTACAGGCAAGTGCTTCTACAGTATATATTAGAATATATTTTTAAGTATTAGTAATTTCCAAATGTATGCAAAATTTTGTTTCAAAGTAATTTAGGATTAAAGAATATTTGTGTTGCATAAAAACCATGCGACTCAGTCTAATGTACCCAATATTTTCACATTAAAAGCAAATCCCATCTTTATTTTTAAACAACTATTTTCCTCTTATAAATAATTCAACTTTGTGTTGAAAACCATAAGAGTTAGCCTAGACAAAGGAATGCAATAGTTAACTCATGTAAATGAAGCTTCTTTATAATTTATGAAACTAGTACAGCAAAACTTGATGTTTTTATTGTCCTTACAATTACTATCATAAGCCGCCATTCAATGTTTACTAATACAGCAACAAAGTAAAGTGTGCAAGAGAGAGAGAAAAAGGTAAAACTGATAGTGCAGGGAAGGTATATTTTCAGTGAATTTTGAAAATATCAATTATATTTTTGAATGACTGTACCCTTTTATTTATAAAATCAGTTTGAAAATGAAAAACTAAGTTCGAAACTGGAAAATGAGATATGTGAAAATAAGGATCTTCTGAAAGAGTAAGTAGTGCAAATAACGTTGCATTGAGATGTTCATATTGGAAATGCTTCTCTTTATTTATAGTTTTAAAAAATTGTTAACAGTACATTTAAGAAAGACAGTATATATTATAAACATTCCAAGGCAGACATCTTGTCATTTTTTTATACCTACTAAGTACTGTGAACCCTGTAACATATAGATAATGCAGTCTGATTCATTTTTCAGAAACAGCGCTACAAGGCATTTGTGCAATCTACTCAAGGAAACCTGTGCTCGATACACGGAGAAGTCCAGCAAATGTAAACAGTATTTCGACACTGTTTTAGTGTGAAACAACTTACACGTACTATTGAACATACCCATTTATTGCATCTGTGTAATTTCTTGCATGTTTTAAAAGTAAAATTTTATGTAGTACATTTTTATATTGATAGATGACCATGAAAGAGAAGAAACCAGACAATTCTGTATGGAACTTAATAATAATATTGAGGTAAATCATAATAACAGGATTCTAAAACTCTTCTTTGGATATCTGATTTGAGCTGATGTGAATGTGCTGAAATTTTCTGAAGTACAAAATACATTCCCTGTCATAGATAAATGGGCAATTACCACTGCACCAAGAGTTTAGAGGCTGTTGTTCGCAAAGAGACTTAGATGGTGCAACACTGAGCTCACTATGCAATGTATATGAAGAGTTATGGGCCTCAGAACAGGATTCACAGCAGACAGCTGAACATGCAACTGCCAAAGGTAGCCAGTAGAAAGTAATGAAGAGAGGAGCGTGCATTAAGCCCTGCTCCTCTTCAGGTTTTAGGTACCTGACAGGAGGGTGCAGGGAAGTACTGATGTCCACTTGGGACTTCCCACTATACACTCCTGGAGTTAAACACCTCCACCCTTTCTGTAGAAAACTAAAGAGTTCTATAGTTTCATAGTAGTTTGGGGTCAGAAGGAACCTGAACAGGTCATCTAGTCTGACCTCCCGCCACTGGCAGGAGCACATGCTGGGATCACATGACCCCAAACAAGTGTTTGTCCAACCTCTTTTTGAATTTACCCAAGGTAGGAGCGAGGACCACTTCCCCTTGTGTTTTAAAAAGGATCAAATCCTTCTTAAAAACACAAGAGTGGTGGTGGTGCTGCCACCTTTTTAGGATACAGTCTAGTAGTAAGAGTACAGACGTGAACGTGGGAGCCTCGGGGTCTGTTTCCTCCTCTGTTTAAGTGGGGTTTAAATTTTCCGACCAAACCTGGAAGGGCCCCAAATGATAGACTCTGATGAGATATTCTGAAGTGGGGGGGG